TTAACCTCTCACTTCATCCCTCATACTTCAGTAATCCACTTCAGCTGTAAGGACTCTGACACTTGAGACCAACTCAATTTGTCTCCGTCTTGTTATTAGAGCAGTAGTGTATGTAACAGGTAAAGAGGAGAGCTGGTTAGGCTGCACAGCTGTCCTTCTGCTTTACTATTGAAGGGAGACCAAGCCTGACATGAGGCCGCTGTGGACAGCAGCTTCACTATATAAGGAGCAGATGGATGGATAAGTAAAGAAAGGACTGCTGAATCATTAATAATGCACCGAAATTCCACCTGACAGGTACAGAGGACAGAAGGGAACATACAAAGAGAGAGACACGGGTAAAATGAAGAGTCAAGTGGGAAGGAAAAGGCTAGGTAGGCAGCAGAAGAGGAGAGCTGTTATAGTGAGAGACGGGTCGAAAAGTGAAAAGGCATTGTTACGCACAGACTGGCAGCTGAAAGGAAAAAGAAGAGACTGTTATACCGGCCTGGAATGAGAGCTCGTAATTTGAATGAGAATAGCAGCAAGCCTGGACGGTAATATCAGCAGCCCGATAACATGTCAGATGGACAGGGAACCTAATGGGCCCGATGCTGCAGCAGGCTGGGAAACGTCAAACATCTCCTGCAGGCAAAGCGCAACACATTTCCACTCTAGTTTCAAGTGTAATATTGGAACTTTGTGGAAGCAATAGAGCGCACAAGGAACACACACACACACACACACACACACACACACACGTAAATCAATACATGAATAGTTGGCAATCCATACACACACCCAGAACAGGATCCAATTAAAGTTTAATTCCACTTTTAAATCTAATTCATTTAGAGAGTGATTACTGTTCCACAATAATTCTTAAGTCTATCCAGCATAATTGCACAGACATCACTGATAACTGTCAGTGTTGCCTGAGAAAAGGAAACGTTTAAACATGGGAGACCGCAATTAAGTTTTGGCAAGAAGACTGAGGTGACTGAATTAGTTCCCACTGATGAAAATGTGACGGTGGACGGAGAGAAACTAACTAATGAAGAATAAGAGACTGAGGATCAAAACAGAGAGAGGTGAGGAAACCAAAATAGTGAGTCATTCATCCTGCAGGTTGTCAGTAAAAGAGACATTAATCTCCAGTCTACTGCCTGCTAGAGCCAGACGTTCCTTGGCCCAAATGTAAAAATGATGTGCATGAACAAAATATTGAGCATGCCACCTTTTTCAAAAGAAACTGCTATGTATAAGAAAGTATATGTGTATATCTCCACGCATGCTTTACCTCAGACATAAACACATTTATCACACTGAGCTCAGCGCGATTAAAACAATGTGGCAAGAAAATTGACCTCAAAGAGGGAATCTGTGGACATTTCAGCTGAAGGCTTTATCCGTTCAGCATGTCATAATCTGTTAGGCACACCATAGGTCTCAACAATTTCCCACTAACTGGCACAGACTCTATCAACTGGCTGCACACACTGACACATAGGCTGCTTTGGTTTCAGTTAGAAGATGATTCTGGTGGCAGCTGAAGGAAACAACAACTGTGGTTTATATACAGTAAAGCAAGGTTAAGTAGGAATGTGTTACCAGCCATTAAAGGATAGAGTGGGCACTGGGCTCATGAGTGTGTATGAGTGCAGGGAGGGGGGGCATTCAATATCATTAAGTCTCTCTCTCAAATTAAATCGAAGGCAACTGGACTTGTATTTGTCTGTGGAAGACGTTTTTAGTCCGCAGTAGTCCGCACGTCAGACTAGTGCGGACTAGAGAGACCAATACTTAAGAACTGATGAAGCCGCTTGGATAAGAGGCGAAACGTCTTCCACAGACAAATACAAGTCCAGTTGCCTTCGATTTAATTTGAGAGAGAGATAACAATGACCTGGACGAATGAGAACATTCACAGACAAATATCATTAAGTGTCTTCTTAAATATCTACAAGTCAATAGGCAGCTGGAATTGCTGCTTTAGATAAAGATCAACTGAGACTGAGAATCTTCACAGCCAGTGCAGTTCTAACTGCTATTAATGCAAATCAAGTATTTTCTAAAAATGAAGTTATTTCGACTCTTTGTTCTTTATTCTATAGATCAGCAACCTTAATTCTTTTGTTCTTGTGACACACTGACACATTGAAACACGATGATTTCTATTTAGTACAACAACTACATACTTGACCAACACTGTGGTTGTGGTGTTCCCCACGCTGTAGAGGTGGGCGGATGGATCCCAAAATATCAATACTGCAGGTACTACATCTTGTGTTTGAAGATCAATTCTAGAGTCAATAGGATTGATACCAGTTACAGTTTCTCTCTTCTATGTTGATTTCAGAGTTGAGATGCTGGGAAAAGACATGAGTGAGTATAGAATAATAATAGGGAGTAATAGAAGATTAAATGGTTGGTTTATCATTTTATTAATTATTAGTTGACCATTCATTGAGTCTTGAGTTCTCCTGCGTCACTGATCATCATCAGCATCATTAGCAGTAAATGTGTTAAAAGGGTACACAATTCTCCTCATCCTGTTAAGGGTCAAAGAGGTCATCTGAAAGGTCAAGGGGATGCATGTGGGTTGAGTTTTTAAGTAAGGTGTCTTGTGTTCAAGGACATATGTGTAAGTAGTAGATATGCAAATGTACGTCATGTACATGGTTGTTGCTATTGGTTGTAAAAAAGATGATATGTATCTTGACCAGACGTGTGTTCACTTCTTTGTCCCCTGTTCTTGAACTTGTATAATGGTTAGTCTGCCTCTGTGTTGGTTGGACAAGGACTGATTATACTTGCCAACTTTGTGTTGGCCTTGTCAACCTTATTGATCAATAGTAACCTTTTTTTTTATTAATCTTCAGTCTGTGTCTTTGTTTTCTTTTTCTGTGTTTGTGTCCAGAATATCAACCACAATATCATGATATATCTGAAGCAGCTGTACCAGTCGTGCTGAATCATGTCAAACTTGAGAAATACACTTGCAGATAATCATACAATTTTGTAGCTTCTAACCAGAAGTCTTCATGTAATAACATATACAGTATATGTCTGGCTCTTTGAGTCAAGCCTCCAGTGTGATCAGCTAATCAGTTTAAAGTCTAAAACACAACATGAGCTTAGTTTTATTAAGTGGGGAGAAACAGAGCTGCAGAGTTGTTGTTAAAACTTTTACCATGAACAAAATTTTGGTTTACTGTCCATTCTTATGATTGACCGACTAGGATGCTAAAGCCCACACATAAAATGCCTGCATTTATTTTGAAGGTGATATTTCAGGGCTCTGCTAATCTGTTCATTTAGCGAGTAAATGAAGTGAAAGCGAAGCTGCTCCTCTGAGAACAACTGGAGGAGGCAGAGTGCAGCAGCAGGAGATGGAAATGAGATGGAGACATTCGTTTATTCATCGATTTCCTCAGCAAATAGCTGGGATCGCGTGGGCTTTTCACGGTTGATACAGTTGGTGAAGAAATGTGACACATACCGCTGCCAACAGCTCCAACTGGGTTTGACAAATGCTGTGGTGAGATGACAGCGTTATGACGCTGACAGTAGTAGGCTGGTCATTCATTACACTCAAAATCTTAACCCCAGCATTTTCTCATCTTGACATAATTGTGCATAATTATTGTTACTGAATGGAAGGGTGGGTGAATCTGAACACAGTCAGTCTGAGGCATCTACATGTGTCAAAGCTGTGTTATGGCGGTAACGACACTACTGAATTTTAAGCTGAATTAAATGATCAAATGAGCAGTTTTCTGCAGGTTCGTCTTCCATCAGTTTCCCAGGTGGTGAAAATCATTCAGATCCAGATTAAACTCGTCTCACCCTCTCAGCTGATCCTGGGCTTTGATGTCAGGATAAAGCAGCGAAGCCTGTTCCCTGCAGAAATCTCCACAACAAACCATCATCTTCATTTTGTCAAAGGCTCACATCAGCATCCAGCACAGGACTCCCTGCTGGGTTTCCATGCTGGACGAACAAACACCTTTCACATTTATCCTTCTGACATAAACCCTCAATACAAACGGCCCCTATAGAGAACAAAGACGGGACAAAGCAACTACTGCTTGTTCTCTCTTTTAGATTGTCTTGTCTCTCTGAAATTATTCTGATCTTCCGTCTCCCTCTAAACTGGTCACCTGTGAGTTACCTGTAAGTCTTTGTGAATCCACTAAAACTTCTTCTATTCATTATGTTTTGTGATGGACCCCTGGCCCATCTTTGTGATTTCTGTATGAGTTATTGTTCTGTTCTCTTATTTGTGCAGCAGGTGTTTGGAGGGTGGAGCTATATATAATGTCTACAACAATAGCAACAATCCCTGCTATCTCGAAGTCCCCAGGCTAAAGGATGTTACACACAAACACTAGAATTACCACCTCACGGTTGTATACCTGCACCAACCATCCAAACTGCAGTAAATATGGTCATAATCTCAATTGAATAATGGCCAGTGTTTTTGCAGAACATTATGAGGTCACAGTCTAGTTGACCATTTGGATATAAAATGTCATCACTTCATCATCTTATCCTGTTAGACATTTGTGTTAAATTGTGTCACAATTAGCAAATAAATTCTTGAGTTGTGGCCTAAAACATGTTTTTTGAGGTCACAGTGACCCTGACCTTTGACCTGTGAGCAACAAAATCTAGTCAGTTCATCCTTGAGTGAATGTTTTGTACCAAATTTGAAAAAATTCCCTCACGGCAATACTGAGCTATTGCGTTCACGAGAATGGGACAGACGGATGGACTGATAACCCAAAAACATAATACCTCCGGCTCTGACTGTCGCCAGTATGGAAAGTGTCATAACATGACAAACAGGCATGTTGCAAATGAGTCATGTTAAGTCATGTGATGTAGCACGTGTGATGTAGCACCTTCAGTTATATCCTGCTGTACATTCTTGTCAAATCCAGTCCAACTCATCAAACACAACAGGATCCAGTCTATATCTCAGTCAGTCAGTGTCGGCAGCAAAAATTCTTCCTCACCTTCTCTCCTGTTGAGTTTGGCGAATCCCGGCGCGTGGCTGCTGGACAGCTGGGAGGAGCTCCTGAAGGACGATGGCGGCAGATTGGACACCAGCGGGCTATCACACACCTCTGTCAACCAATCACAAAACACACATAGTTAGGGATTTACACTTGATTAATACCTAACCTGTTTGAACATAGAATTTTTTAGGAAATTCAGTTTCACTAACGTTATGGGAAAAGACGAAGAGTTGTTTTTGTAACCAAAAGATTTGAATTTTCATTAGAACTGGCAAGATTGAAAACCTTTCCTCACTATATCTGACAAAGAAATCAAGAAATCAAGAAAACTATTTCAAAACCATCTGGGAAAACTAAAGTATGTTTGTATGGTGTCTTTATTCCAAACAAGTTCCAGTAAAGTTGAGATTTTGGAAATAGTGAGTTTTCATCAACATTAACAACATATTTTGTTAACTTTCACCAGCTCTCAGAAATATTACATAATTTCTCTTCTTGTGGTAACATTATTCCACATGTTAACATTCATTATTCAGAATTTACTATTAATAATTTATGTTTCAGCCTTTACCGTCTTCCAATTTCCCCATATTTTATAGGTCAAACAAAAATATTTAGATGAGGGTAACTTGAGAGAATCCACAGACGTCTGTAATCAGAAAAAATCTCTCACAGTGAAAGCGTCAAAAGGTAAAAGCTCAGAAAAGTGGACATGGTTGAACAGAAGTACTGCATCACTTATCGTGAGTGATACAGCACATAGAGGATGAGAAAAGCAGCATACCAAAAGTTATTTGGTGGGAGCATCGCATTTTTTACTCTCAATAAACACCATTAAGTGGATAAGGAGAAGTGGAGTTGTATCATTGAGCAGCATGTTTAATGTCAATGAAGTGAAAAAAGGCTGTTGACTTCACATTCCAGTCTTTCATTGCGCAGTAAGAAGTTCCCAACAGCAGAGTGATACAAGCGTCCCCTCTTCGCATGACTCTAAACTTATTATGTCCAAAATCGTAAAAGTAGTTGGAAAGAAACGTCCAAACTCTTCTCCAGAGTGGAAAACAAAGCTGAGTAGTTAAGAGAGCAGAGATCAACAGTGAAAAACCAATAGGGATAACGAGAGCCGATACTTTGGCTGCAAGGCGATGCTAAAATTCTGAAAATATGACTTATTTTTCTACAGTACTATTGGTACCAAAGGTAAAGTAGCTGTTGTAGGTAGTGAACATGTGATTGTTCCAGGACTGATTACATAATAACCCTACAAGTGTTCCAGTCTGACATCAAAAGAGAAGCAGCACATTAAACAATAACAACAACTTGTTGAATGGCAGCCATACTAATGGAAAAACACAAATGGACTTGTATATGGAGATATTTTATATTTGTCATAGAAGACCAAAAGGCAGTGAGCAAACAGAGCCACAGAGCATTTTGAATGAAATGAGGAAACACCTCAAACATATCCAAGCAGCTGTTCAGGGTGTGTGAGTTTCAGTTGATAACTTTGTATTAATAACATGTCATCAAAATGTTCATATTAACATTATTGTTTGTGGATTGCAACAGCTGGTACTCACAAAGGCTAACGTTAGCTTGTTTAGGCTAACGTAGGGACAGGGTGCTCACGACATTAGCAGCCTCCTGTCATCAATGTTCACTCTTTTAAATGAACATTTTCACACCATGGGTCTGTTGTCTTGTCAGATTAAAATGCTGCTTGCACACTGACTACACGGAGATGTGTACATGTTTGTTAGCACACTCGGAATGTAGCAACCTCTGTTTTTTTCACTTTTTTGCTGCGGTATTAAATTTGGTATTGAGAATTGTGGAATTTCAAATTTCTGGTATCATGACTTCCCCAAAAGCCATACTGAGGATACCACATTATCAGACACAGCAGGAGATGGATTATTCTCCGTCTCTTACTCTGAGTGAAAAACTGTTGCATTGGTAAAAACAGCAGGACGGGAGCTCACTGATGGTGTGAGATGAAAGTCTTGTGCCTCCAAATTATCCAAGCTTTTCAGGAGCAAAGAAACAGTGCACAAGTTGTTTTCAACTTGAGCACTGTACATTGTAGAGTTTATCCAGTGGAGTTTGGAAAGGATTTTTAATACCATCATACAACACATAGAGAGAGAGAGAATTCAAATCAAAGCACCGAAATCTGAGAAATGAAAGTTTCACATGACAACAGTTTCATCATCGTTCCAATCAAGTCCCTTACTATTACAACATGAGTGGCAGAGCAGAGTCTAATCACTGAGAAGGAAGCTTAATGTTCCCCTGGTGGAAACAGGTCTTTCAGCTGTAATGGCACCATATTAGATGAATGAACAGTGTAATAATGTGCAGTTGGATGAATTAATGGTGTAATTCTGCCTAGATGGATAAATGAACATTGTAATCATGTCATGTTGTGGAGATGAATGGCGTCCTGACTGGCTCATTGCAGGTCGGATACTGATGGAGAGGGATCAGTGTTGTCAGAGGAAACCTGCATGTTCACACACTTTAATGGTTTATGGACGATCGGCTGCAAAAAATAAACCCATTATATGTTATACATACCACAATGATTAACAGTAATTTAGCTTGTTTTAATTGGCATCTGCACCGCATTACACAGGAGCAGCTATTTCATTTGTTTGTTAAATTTACATTACACTGAGAAAACACAGTAAACAGTAAAAAGTCACAGTAGAAATGAATGTTTGTTTTATGAGATGTTCTGAGGTCTGAGCAGTGTAATTATATCTCACACAATAACACACACACAGATTCATGAACATCAGCTCAATAAATATTCATGGTTTTCCTCTCCAGCTCCGAACTGTAAGTTAAAGCCAAACTAACGCTGCCTCCATCTGAAGCCTCTCTGTTAATGGATGTTGTTCTCCACCGCTGAGACAAGAGCCTATTACTATGATTCACACTGCGGTCCGATCTCGGCCCACAGCTCTGACAACAAGGCTTTAGCTTCGATTACTCTGTCAACATTAGTGTACTTCACCTCAACAACTCAAGGTCTTCATCTGCCTCTCAACATCCTCCACAGACTGATGATTTCACTTTTTAAAGAGGAAGAACACTCCAATTAAACTAGTGAATGACTTTGACTTCACTAGAGAACTACACTATTTATTTCTGTAGCAAAAAGAACATGTTAAAGATAAGTGATACTGATAGAATGTGATAGAATTAGGATGAACAAATGAGACACTTGACACATGAGCAATTATAACTATAAAGACCACATTATAGAGTTTAGGTTTCACTTCAAAATGATGTTGGTTAATAACTTTCAGAAGGTTGGAAGTAACTTTTCCCTGCAGGCAACAGATGTCAATGTAAGGTCAGAAAAACAATGGACTCCCAATGTTGGCTGGAAATGAAAATTGAATTAATGTCATGATCCAACGTTGGTTGAATGACATTTAGAGATGTTGGGTTTTGCTCACAACTAGAATGTCGGTATTTTAGACGTTGGATTTTGGTTACTTAACAAAACAAGTTCAAAGTGCTATATGTAAGCTTCCTCTGCTGCCAAACATGGTTTCTTGCCGGGAGCAGGTGGTGGTCACTTGCCAAGACCTTCAGACGTTGGTGTGTTTACAAGACCAGAGGTTAGAAGACACCCTTTGATCAGCGCTACTATTTCATCTTCTCATGCTAAACTGTGGGTAGACTGGATGCTACAGCGACTCACTATCGCAAAGTAGTATTATGAGACGAGATGGGTCAGGGCTAACTAGCAGATAGCATGCTAACTACAGTAGACGAAAAGAGGTGATAGAAATAGAAGCGATACAAGAGAGTTACTTTCCACCACTGGAGACAGCTCTTCATGTGAAGCAAACAGCTGTTAATGTTAACTTTGCCTATGTAGCGATAGCAAAAACATACATATAGTACCTTTTTTCAAACCAACAAAATATCAAGGTCAGCTGTCGTCAGTGTTCTATGTCAAACTGATGTTGACATTAGACATCACAACCTTAAAAAAACCAAATATCAACATCTAATGACGTCGGTGGCCAGCTGCATGTCTGCAGGGTTAAATCAGATTTTCCTACTTTTTACAATCCTCTGATTCAACAGACAAGCAGCAGAAGTGAAAGCAGTGCATAAGCAGCAAACAGAAGCAGTTCCAGTGTCTACTAAGACTGTGTTCAGGCACAGTGCTGTGTGTCCAACACACACTCACTGTAGTTACACATATGAAATGGAAGAAAACACACTAGAAGCATTAAAACCCACTTTTGGGTTTCAGCTAGGTACGAAAAGTGCATGTGAAACACGAGCTGTTACACAGCCTGTGTAGACATCTGCACTGCTTTAAAATAGAAGCTTATCTTTTATATTACATATACATGAGACTGAAAAACCCCAGCTGATATACCCCCTGTAGACAAACCTTTACAAATCTCAATTGCAAAAATAAAACCTTTCTCTGATCTGACACACCATGGTTTTCCCCCTAAAAGGCACCTTGAAGGATTAGAGAAAGATCATAGGACTACAGGGTTGAGGAAGGATCTTAGTTTTGTTTAAAATGACTACATCGACCCCACCTCCTCCCTCTGCGGACTGTGGCTCATTCACACTACAGTATATCCTCCTGGGTCAAGAGTTATAATCTTTATAGCCATTAGAAGGCTTTATCACTTGGAAGTAAACGAATGTGATTATTGGGCATTTACTGGAGGACAGAAGACAATAAAAACAAGTGTAGCAGAGGCCTGAGGCCACTGTCAGTCTCTGATGTGATGGTGCCTGATGTCTATGAATATTTAAGTTTGATAACACCAGGAAACCTCCAGTGTGGCCTCCGAGTAGTCTCTTTGATGATGAAATTATCTGGTATTAAGTTTAAACTCTATTTATGACAGTTTGTCACAGCAGGTATCACTCAGTACTGAGATGTACAGTCACACAGTCAGTCTTCAATAATTCAGTAATTCTGATAATCTTTATTATTGCAGGCCTTGGCTTCGGAGACACTTGTTACTGTGGGTGGTGGGACTCCTCAGCGTGAAAAGCAGGTGAATCTGAAGAGGTGAAATGAGAGGCACGGCTCTCCACTGCTGAGTGCTGTAATC